TTTGTTGCATCCTTCACACAGTATACTTCGTTTGGCTCTGAAGAGAAAATGGTAAATACACTACACTACGTTTTTCAAATTCAAGCTCGTCAACGAGGCGGCTGGTCTGCTCTTCTCGAGCTCATGTGGATAATGTTTATTTTTTTGAGCCTTCCATTGTCCTCATTGCATTCCTCGTGTTAGCCATCCGTAGCCTCTTGCCATCGTGTCACATATGCGTAGCAAGCTTGGCCACAACAACCTTCCCAGTATCCTCCATGTCTCGGTAAGATCACTCGCCAAGGCAGGGACCAACGTGCAATCTTCTGCTGGTACTCACTAGCGTCTCTGGCACAGGTGCCTCGCATTGTTTCGTTTCGCCAGCGGAGTCAAGGGGCGCGGGGTTGTGACGGGCACGGACGACTGCCGTGTCTGCGTCTCAGCTGAGGACTCTGCGGCCAGATTCTGTCGGCGTCTTCTTACGATGCTGCACTAGTGCCGGTGAGCTTGGTCCGACAGTTGCCTGCGTATCGCTGCATCGCCAGGGCAGGGACAGCGTTGCTCGATTATTGTGCTGCCTTTCTAGATAGTGGACGCTCCTCGGCGAGGAAAAGCCAAACACTTCAGCAACTGCCTTTAAGCTGTGAAATGTCGCTTCTTGGTACTAGGACTTGGTAGATTTAGGACTCTCGCGTGAGATTAGGGCGATATGAGCTGGCTACGCGATCACCCCAAATACACAGCTAATCACTGAACACAGCATACACGGTAACGGATCGAAGGAAGAGAAAAAGGAGGAAATTCCATACTAAAAACGAAATCATGACAGAACGCCTCGCTATCTCAGCTTAAAAGAGTGCATTATTCGCACAAGTGAACGGGCCCCGAATCTCATTCTCCTCATTGTTGAAGACATCCAACAGGCCCATGATGGCCGCCCACATGCCGGCAGAGTTCATAAACAGCGACATGACGATGATGAGCACGTTCAGGACGAAGAGCGCTATCTTGCGCCAATTGGCAAACATTTGGCCCCGGTTGAGATGGAACCAGAAGATGGCGCTGATGCCGATCGTCCACCATGCAATGAGAGTGGCCGAGGATATGGACAGGATGGAGTCGAAGACGGGGATGCTGTTGCCGAGGATGAAGGCCAGCAGCCAAAAGATGGTTGCGCAGCCGACCCAGGAGCCCCATGAGCGCAGATTGCGGGAAGTGAGCTGGTCGGTAGCCTTCTGCCAGCGCATGGCCGTGACGTACATGAACTTGATTGCCGTGTGGCCAAAGACGACACCTGTGGCGAGAAGACAGGGAAGCATGACGCCGTAGGCGATCTTGGCGGGAACAGGCGGCGCCGAACCGAGCGACGGACTCGTAGTGTATTGGCCGGCCAGGCAGTAGATCGTAACGGCGACGATGATATAGAGCGGAATGGAGAAGGACTGCAGGATTACAAGGCCTGGGAGGAAGTCGCTCGAAGGGTCCTTCATCTCAGCAAGAAGACTGGGAAATCCGACGTTGCCAGCATAGGCATATGCGACTTGTAGGCATGAGGTAAGACCTTCACGGAACGTCGGGTTGCCGACAACTTTGACTTCTTTCTCAAAGGGGATCGGGGCGCCCTGGGGGTCAGCGACCCCGAGAGAGATCATGACGATGAGGACAGCTGCGAGAACAGAAATGGTAGCAGGGATGCCGACCTGGCCGACGAAGGCGAAAGTTCTCGGTAGACAGAGAAGCCAGAAGGCAACGACGGTGACGCCCATGAAGCCAGCCGTACAGATCGCGTGCTCGGACATGGTATTAAGGGCGATAGAAACGGTAACGGTAGCAGATGTGCATGTAAAGCAAATGTTGATGATCATAGCGATACCACCCACAATTTCGAGAGGTTTGCCGCCAACAACCTTGCACATGTCGACAATGTTGACGCAGTGCGGATACCTCCGGTATAGCTGCAGGAGTTCATAGGCCGTATAAGTCGAGAGGAGGCCAATGCCGACGATGGCGATGACTCCGGGGACAATGCCAAGAGTTTGGAGGGTACCGGGGAGTGACAGAATACCGATTCCGACTTGGTTTGTGATTAAAATGATGCCGGCCATCCAACGTCCAACAGTGCGGTAGTTCTTCTCCCCAGAGCTGAAGATGTTCTGAGCTTGACCGCCGTCGACGCCGAGAGTCGCCTTCCTCTCCTCAGTTGCCTGCCAGGAGTCGCGGCTATTGTTGTAGCTTGGCAGAGATGGATCGCTGCCGGCAGGAGCCTTCTCGTGACCCATCATGCCTGCGTCAGCGTCTCTGGGGGCATCTACTATTCCATAATTTGGAGATCGGATGCCGTCAGCGGCAGCAAGATCGTTGCGGCGGCCCTCCGCATAGGAGCTGTCATTGTAGCGGTCGTGATCCGCCATATCGTGCTTCCTTTTCACTCCTTCTGGAGACGTGTCTAGTCAAGGTGCTAGGCTGGCTGTGTTCTCTTCGATGTTTAAAGTACGTGATCTGACGAGGCGGGAGCTCAGGGGCTCCAGGTGAAGCCTTGACTTGCCGAGGGATGGGAAAAGTAGATTTGCTGTCGAGGCAAGAGGTCAAGAGAGTCGAGACGAAGCCAACTTATATCAAGCAGCATCACCGAGTTATCATTGCTAATAGCGTGCGGGGGACTTAAAGGGGTCCCCTAGTTCATGCGTAAGCTTATCTTTGATGGACACTTCCCCGGAATTCATTCCACATACTCGACGCAGTGTCAATTGGGAACGGCGTGTCCGTCGAGCGACGACGTCAGTTGTGACGACGGTGGGTAGGAGTTGGGATCAGTTGGCCAGTGGAGCCAACCTCGTGGTTTGGCTTTGCTAACATGACCTGGCTACGCAGGCCAAGAACTGCGATTGGGGCCGTGTAAGAAGCCAAGGACCGAATGGCTGCAGGAGAAGCGTGAAGGAAAGGATCGAAGGCACATAGTTTCCGAGCCGTGTGCGTTGCCGGTGGCCTACACGGATCATGACCAAATGGTGACTTGTTCTCTCGGTCGACGCAACGTCTCTTGTCCTTCTTGCCATTGAGATGATTCTAGCTCAAAAGGTGGAAAGAATCAACAAAGTCGTCGATAATCTCTGCCCTTTGCCTGAGAAAAGACCCCTCTTCTCCTGTTCTGAACATCTCGTAGACTCGAGCATGAGTCGTAAGAGCGGACGGTGAAGAGGCGGCGGAATGAGGCTGTCAAAGGCCAAGAGGCTAGGCGGCCTCCGTAGTCTCGGCAGTCTCGGCACTCGTCATTCGGAGACACAACGGCACCGGCACTCCGCACGAGCCGTAGTCGTCTTGTTGCCCTCTGGTCCCTCTCGTTGGCTCACATATCTCATCTGGTAGGATGAGTTGCAGCAGCGATCGCCCGCCGAGACCGCCATCGTCACCTCTCTTCGCCTTGCAGTGCTGACTATTGCGTAACGCGACTGTGACATGAATACTACCGTGAGTATATTCCTTGGCCACCGTGAGTGGTAAATCGGACAGCTGAGTGAGCTGAAAATAATGCAGCTGGAGGTTCGGAAGGCGGCTTCTCTGCTGCAGGATTGGCAATTGGGCTGCCGTGGCCCGAAAGTCTCAGCGCTCATGTTTGCCCTTGGCTTTGTCAAGAACCTGTTCGCCATTCCGTTTCCGCCTTGTGCGTAGCGTTTTTTCGGCGTAATAATACAAACATTGTCGGTTGCAAAGCCGTGGCAGCTACTGCGTCCCTTCTTACTGTACAAGGGGGGAGGTTTGCCATGCACGAATCGCACAGACATGCTATCGTGCACCTTGTTCGCGCGAGAGAGAATGCTGGAAAGGTGTCGTCGCCCTTTCTTTACGGTAGCGCGTTTGAGAGTGATGTATCTAGGATAGCATCTACCACTGTCTCTCAGAACGGACAAGATATCCTGGGGCTAGGGCTCCAGGCTTGAGTCAACCCACCTCTCAATCATGTCTCCAGGCGTTCCACCCGGTCGTGGCAACTCCAGGCTTATGAGCTGCGAGCCAAGGTTGCATCGTGATATTGGAGCGATATGTGTTTGCCAGAAGAAAAAATAGTCGAGCCGTCTTCAGGCACTCGCGAGTAGGCCAAAGTGCTTGCTCACTAGATTGGCAAACTGAGCATTTCCCGCGCAGCAGCCTCCTTGCGATTCGGACAGGGGTGGCTTGCGTAGTTAGATATTTCAAAGCTTGTCTAGTTTCAGGATGCTTTGGTCAGGCGCAGGGCCAATAGCTTTCGATGTATGATGTATATGGTATCGGGCATTTTGTTTAGCAGGCCATCCACACTCACAGTATCTCACCTTACCTTAGGCATACCGCACTGCCCTGTGTTGAGGTCCCGGGAGAAAAGGAGTCACGTGTCGTGATTGAAGCGCGTGATACGCGCAGTCACGAGCAAGTCAGTTGCTTCCGAGATGAACCAAGATGAACTGCCAAATCGCAAAGACCACGGCTCATGTTTGTTGTGTCCATGGAGACTCGCTGTCCCAAGTTTTGGGGTACGGGTTGAGCCAGACACGAGATGGGCACGTGACTCCAAGTCAGCCAATGCGGACCCGCGAATTACTGGTTACCATGCTGCTTAGTCACCAGCGAAGCTCAGACCTCGAAACTGCTCTGTTTGAACGTCTCTCGCTCCCGACGACCGTGATCGACGACGTCTCGAAGCACAACCACCACTCCAATTGGGATCCCACCACCTCAATTGCATTCACGATGGGTTCCGACAATGCGCCAAAAGGTATACCGCCCTCCCCTCCTCTCTCCCGCCATTCTCGCTCGCCGTAGATCGGCAGCAAAACGTGCCGTCCAGACTGACAATTGCCCTTCCCTTCCCAGGCCCTGCGACGCGCGAGGAGATGCGCGAGGCCCGCCTCCCCCTCGCCTACAGAGACAGCTGCGCCCACCTGCTGATCCCCCTCAACCGATGCCGTACCGAGACGTGGTACCTGCCCTGGAAGTGCTCGGTGCGTCCCGCCATCCCGCCCCCCATGTCGAGAGAGAGAACCAAAAGAGCAGTGCTAACGCGGGGAATAGGATGAGCGCCACGGCTATGAGAAGTGCCAGTACGAGGAGTTCAAGAAGCGTGTTGCCAAGATGGACGAGCTGCGGGCGAGCAAGGACGGCGCGAGGAGCAACTAAGTGCTGGGTGCATTGGTGCAGGACAAAGAGCCCGGGCAGCTGCTGCGACGAGGCTGTGTACGTACATACCGACGACGACGGGAGAGGGATCGGAAGGCCTTTATGGCGGTTAGAGATGGGACGAATTCCATGGATATACCGCTTGCCACTCTTCCCGGCGTGAAGCGTTGAGAAGATTGGTCTCACCTGGCACACTGCTCTCTCCAGCCATGTCACGGGATGCAGAGGACATGACGAACAACGAGTATTCGAGTACTGCTGGGTATCCTATGCTAATGTCGGTAGAGACTGCCGCGCCCAACGAACGAAGGAATGCCGGAAACAAGAGGTGGCTGAAAGAATGCTCTGCTCCGATAACCAACGAGTGTGTCCGTCCTGCTTATCATACAACCAAAGAAACTACTCATGCCAGATGAGAATCAACTCCATACGCCGCAGTCCCGTCACGCGTCGACCTTGACCATCGGCTCCCACGGCCTCGCGCTGTTCCAGAGATACGTGTCCGGCTGCCTATCGTCGCCAGACTCGACGGTGTACTTGACAAAGACGGGACGCTGCACGCGCAGCGGCGCGGGAACGAGCGAGTTCTCCACGCGTAGCGGCTCCCGCGCCGGCGCCGCCGCCGGCACCGCCACGGAGGAGAGGAAGCCCGCGACGAGGTCCTCGTAGGCGTCCATGCGCGGCAGGCACTCGTTGACGACGACCTGGAAGCGCACCCTCTGGATGTCAAGGACAATGGTCCGCACCATGGCCGGGAAGCCGTAGGAGAAGCCGCTGCTCAGGGGCCAGCAGGCGCGGCGGCGGTAGCCGTTGCTGCGGCCGTCGTACCAGACGGCGGTGCCGTGCTTGGACGTGTCGCGCACGACGAGGCGCTTCTCGGCGTCAAAGGTGATGTGGCAGTGGCGGCGGCTGATGCCGCGCAGCTTGGGCAGCACAATGTCGCAGGTGCGGGGGTCGGTGCCGATGACGAAGCCGTGCAGGCCCTTGGGCCGGTGGTCAAAGGTCAGGGCGAGGGCTGCGTTGGGGCGCTTGGGCGTGAGCACCGTTTCGTTCTCCTTATCGGATGCCGAGTTGTCGTCATCGTCTTCTTCGACGGTGATCATGTTGGAGTCTTGGTGTTCCGAGACGAGGACCATGTCGTCGAGGGCTCGGTCGAGGTGGATGCGTCTCGCGCTATTGCCGACCATGTGTGTTGCCTGAGCTGCCCAACGGTTGTTGTTCGCGGGTAGCAGCCAGGCGATAGGGGTGGACATTTGGGTGTCCATAATGTAAAGACGGTTGGGGTGGGGAAGTAGATGGGGAGGTTCAAGACCAAGACGAAGTGCTGATTGATGTCGAAGTCTCAATTGATGATGCAAAATACAAAAACGCAAAAGATTATACGCTCAAGTCGGGAGTAAGAGTAAAAAAAGGACTGGCTGCGGATGATGCCCAAAGAATGAAGGCACCGCTGGAAAGCTCAGGCTCGGGAGCTGTAATGGAGAACGACGGAATGGATGAGCTGAAAACTGGTTGTACATGCAGAGAGAGTTTGAGATGAATGACAGCAGCAGAAACAGCGTCCTTTATGAGGTTTCCTGAGCACGTAACCTGGATGTTTTGGTCTGAAGTGGCATAGAAGGGGTGTTGATGCAGCCTTCACTGCCTCTCCTCAGGGCAATCGGCGGCTGGCCACTTATTCACTTGCAGGTAAGTAAACAAAACACTTCTTCAGGCAACGACAGGCATGGCTGCTCAAGGGCATAGCAATTCGTGGCCCTGTTATGAAACGGGCACGAGAGAGGTGCCCAGATGGGGATGCAGTCACAGTGTGGGTGGCTCGTGGCCAATGAATTGGTGACCGTCGCTGCGCGTTTGGCAACGATGACCCCAATCTTGACAACACTCAGCTTCGCTGGCCGAATCGCGTCGACTGCTGCTGGAGACGATTGAAACAAGAAAACTATGACTCTTTGCTGCCTCGTGGCAGGGCCTCATCAAGCTGTTTCCTGGCTCCTAACAACCTACCTACATACTCACGTAGGTACGTACCTAGGTAGTAAGGTAGGTAGGTGCCTACCCAAGCTGTCGACAGAAAATCTGGCACTCTTAAAATCCTTCACCTAACAACACCACTACAACCACCAAAATGACCGATTTTCCACACCATAATACACCTATAAAATCTAGGGTCCTAGGGGCTATACCTTTATAGATAAATGCAGAACGTGTTCATCACTGGATTGATTCAATGCCGTAACGGATAAGGGATGTGGTAGCT